GTGTTAAAGTGGAGGGACTGTGGATGGGGCAGGTCGAGGAGGACACCAGATGATCAATTGAGGTTGGACTTGACGACTTTAGATATTTCTGAGAACATGATATCTGATCTGAGAAGAAATCAAATCAGATCACACTGTGATTTTTTTTATTTCATTCTATGATAGTACGGAAAAAGAACCTTTCCCTCCTTAATAAATGAAAATCAATCAAACGTAATGAGTCACATTCTCACAGTAAGCAATTGCGTTTTTTTCTTCGTTCTGTCAGTTTCATTTCTTCTTCCGTTGTTGCGTATCAAATACTACAAAAAGTGTAACGGGTATGATGGAACAGGGCAAGAAGTGAATAATTCTTGATTTTAAAACATTACCACAACAACTTAGATTTTACTTAGAAAGTAGGCGCACTTCTAGAGATGCACAAAAACCCATACCCGAAAACCGCTCCAAAACCAGCTTGAAAAATCCCGGGCCTAGGCCCAACGCAAAAAAGGCCGACTTGAAAAAGGTCATCGTGGAAAAGCCCGATCAAGTTCTTTTTCAACCCCAAAAACTAGCCCGGCCCAATCTTTTTTATTGCTAAATGAAAACAAGCTTGGAAGGCATGGGCCCAGCCGCCCAGGCCCGAAAAAGCCCATGCTTTGTACATCTCTACATGCTTCTATAGAAGTACTATGAACGTGCACATTCTAAGCGATAATGAGTATTTCGTTAAATTGTTGGTGGACCAAATCAATCAATTCATATCTACACCAGATATTAACTATGAGATATCGTTCTTTATTTGTTAGTCTATCTTTAATGCTACTCTATAACGTGACATCATCTAGGGTAGCTATTGTCATATTGATAACTTTATTAGGGAAAACATCATATTCTCTGATGTAGACCGATCAGATTGTCCCTTTTCTAAGAGATCTGGTACACGTATCCAGAATCTGTAGATGGTTTTTTTTCTCTTACGAAGAAGTTAGAAACAACATATACTCCTGTGCCCCAGCGAGGAATTGGAGCACTGAGTGGCGCTTTATCTCAGATCACGTCGAATAAGTGGCTTCTTAGAGAGTTTGTATCTGTATACATGATCCGAAAAATATACGCACTATTCACATATCACACAGCCAAGAACCAAGTCTTCCACAAGAGGAGGTAACGCATTGAGGATAGTTGTCATCTTATCATGGATAACGTTCTTCTGACTCTACTTGGTATATAATGATTCGGTTTTAACTAAAACCACAAACCATAACGCTTTTATCAGTTCCATTTTTTATTTTTTTTGATTAACCTGGATATCCAACTCGCTATGTGAGCCGACTAATCCCAGGGCGACCACCTGCTTTGCAGATATAGCCCGAAGTCACCGCATTTGAACCTCCGTGGCCACAAAGAGATTTTCATTCCTCATTGGATTTGAACCTGGGACCTCCAGATACTTTTGACCTTTGGAGCCAAGCTCAAACCAATCAAGCACCACCCTTGTGGTTCAGTTCCAAATTTTTCGAACCAAACAGAACTGTAATCGTTGTCGAATTATACACTGAGCTAACATATTTTAATTCAGTTTTGGTTTGGTTTCATGCATTAAAAAGCTAACAATATTTTGCAACTTGTAATGTTTTTGCAACCAAAAGTCATTCATAAAGTCTCAACTTGTGCACTTGGTTTTATATCTAAGGTTGCACAACAACTATAACATGAAGTATTACCTAACTTATACAATGATGGATCAATAAATAAAGTATCAACAACAAAATGAAAAATCTTAACCACCATACAAAATGATAAAAAGACAGTATTTAACAGATTCTGTATAATTTCTTTAAAAACTGAGAAGTAAAAACTGAAATCTCTACAAAAAAACATTCAGCTCCAATATATTATGTATTTTTGGAAATTCCAACATCAGTTACATTATTAAAATATTTAATAGATTTAGTATGCTGATAAAATTTTAAATAAATTTTATATATTCAACTTGATTGTTGGGAATAGGGGTGCTTAAAAACCCAACTAACCCGATCAACTCAACCCAACTTAACCCGAAGCAACCTGATGTCTAATCGAGTTGTAAAATTTTCAAACTGTAAGTATTGGGTCGATATTGAGTTACTATTATTTGAACTTAACACAATCCGATGAATCCCGATATCTTTGTATTTCTTTTATTTAATATGATTGTTGAGTTTATATTAATATATACATTAAACAATTACACTATCACGTACGCTCTTCATATATACTTATTTTCAATCTATTCTCCATCTCTATATAATTCACTCGTATATATATTCAGTAACTGTGAAAATATATATATATATATATATATATGTATATGTAAATTGAGAAAATTAATTGAATGTGATATATGTAAGAAGTATGAATAAGTTGTATCAAATAGTTGATGATGAAACATAAATTATGAGTTGAGAAATAACATATTCAAGACTAGAATAATATTTTAATGTATCAAAGTACCAACTCGATCAACCCATACGAATTGGGTTGGGTTGCACTTTGGTTTGAATTGGGTTGAGTTAAGATTTTTCAAACCGCAAACATTTGGGTTAGGTTGTCAGTCCGATCAACCCAACTCATGAGCACCCCTAATTGGAAACAATATAGGCATCTTGATTGATGTGGGCAATAAACAGATAATTTATCTCTTCAACATTTAATTAGTTCGGATAATCAAATGAACCAACTTAGATTAGCTTAGAGTTGTCAATTTCTTTTTGACAAACAATTTCGTATCTTCTACGTCTGTGACCTTATCACCTCACCAAAATTTATAGCCCTTATACGGTATTAGTAACATGAATCTAATTACTAAGTGTATCTTACTAACAAAATTATCAGATTGGTTTTTTCGAAGAAAATTGAAAAAGAGATACGTAACTAGTTAATGATAACTACTTCTTCTGTTCCAAAGTCATACTTGTGACTAATCGAGAACAATTAACAATAAAAAATTGTCAAAAAAAAAAAAAGCGTATCTGTTTATGCGAGAGGGCCCCTTGTTGAGCGGGATTGACTTTTTGAAAGAAAAAAAACTGAGTGGCGAGAGGAGAAGATCCGTTTTTCACCTTATCGTTGGAGCATTGGATCTGTTTCTCCTCTCGATAAACCTAGACGTATCTTAACATCTCAGTAATTTTTGAAATCGAACTTTCATGTTATCCTACACGTCTATCCTCCAACATATTTTTTGAATGGTTTAAAAACAGGATAATAACAATAGCGGTCATTGAACTATAAAAAGACTTCAAGTAGGATGCAAAATTAAAAAGGACAAAGATGGTAAATAAACTTTACAATTGTGTTCGTTTATAAAGACAAAGATTGTGAATGTAAGAGTAAATGATTACAGAAAAAATACATTTGAATATGCATATGTGAACTCATGTTCACTTACCTACTTTTTTTTTACCAATATTCACATATGAATATGCATATGTAAACGCACGTTTCCTTTTACTAACGATTCACATATAATCAGTTGTTCGTACATTCTCAATCATTTTGTTTTTTCTGATTTTAACTCCTTGTATACCATCATTCTTAAATTATGACCCATATTACCTTTTCATTCAGACTACAAAATTACACTTGTTTGATTCTTTTTTATGAAAAGTTTTCGATGATACCAAATGTGTATCTTATTGACTTCAGCATGAACCAATTAAAAATTGCTATCGAAAATTTCATTTAGCCTAAAAAATAGCATAAAACAAGATTCAATTGAGTTTAAACCAGCATTTTCTAAAATAATGTATATTTTTTATTGTACCAATTTTGGACCCAACGGACTTATGTATGGCAAAAAAAATGCATAAAAATGAACGAAGTAGTTTTATGTCGCCCTTTGTGTGATTTTTAGTATGAATACATTCTGTCTCGATAAGACATATATTTGACCCTCATTGAGCATAAAAACTGAAATCTCCCACACATAAATCAGCAAAAATTATTTGTTATTTAATTAAATATTTGAAATACATATAATTTCGTTAGAGTTTGATAGGAACTTGGTTAACAATGTTTTTGATGTTTGGAGAGTGGACGGTGTATATAAGGGATGATGAGAGTTCATCGATATATTAGAGAGTACTTAACCCGAAATGACAGGGGAGAAGATCTGAATCACGCTCTGTAGGATTTTGAACCTACGACACCGAGTTTTGAGATATTATGCATAAATCATTGCGAATTCTTCAGAAAAAATTCTGTTTTCAGACCAGCTACTAATCATCGGCTAGGTAAGCTATTACCTCACCATGATTTTCCTACCCACGGAGGAAAAAGACCCTTTCCTTTTGGGCGGAGCTATTTTTCCGCATGACCTCTCCTACAGTATCGTCACCACAGTAGAGTTTATGATATAACATACTTGCAATAAACTAAGATTGTGTTTGCATAGCTTAAAGTTGATAAGCTGAAGCTGAAATTGATAAGAGGTGCTTACCCAATAAGACGTAATGTAGTTTATCAACATCCTTAGATCCACAAATATACTGACCAAGATGTTGATCCTGTAGGAAGTATTTACTTTCTGACTCAGTTATTGCTTCAGTCAGTATTTACCTTATGACTCAGTTATTGCTTCAGTCAGTATTTACCTAGACAGTTTATCAACATCCTTAGATCCACAAATATACTGACCAAGATGTTGATCCTGTAGGAAGTATTTACTTTCTGACTCAGTTATTGCTTCAGTCAGTATTTACCTAGACACAGTAAACACTAGACAATCATTTCAGTCGGCGTTTAACTATCGTGTCTTTATTTGATTAGCGTTTATCAAATTTGTGTTCGGTAAATGACAAGACAGAAGGGAAGGGGGTATTTTGGGGTATATGAAAGAGTTAAAGGGGTATTTTGGGTATATGAAAGAGTTAAGGGGGTATTTTGGGAAGAAACCCATTCTCAACCATATTTTTCCAAATAGTGGAACATTGGAGGGTATCTGTTATATACGATGATTTCCCTTGTGTGTGATCGATATTGTGAGGTGCTATAGATGATGACTACCACTTGACTATCAGATTGTGCGCTTTAGGTTCGCCACCGTCGTCGCCGCCGCTTCCCCGCCGGGAACCTCCACCTGTTTAATTTCCGGTACCGGTAGTTCATCTCCGTTCCTGTTATACGATCCATTGATTACAGAATCAGGCGTATAATTATACGTTAACTATAAAAGGGCAGACGCAGTTGGTTAAGTGAAAAATTGGGTGGAAAATCGATCGATCGATCTGTTCGAGATGGGGGACTCCACCGCCACCGTTAGGGGCGGTGATAATACCTCGTCTGAGAGGAACGCGGCAGAAGAAGTTTGTCGAATTGTGGAACAGAGTAAAGAGTTGCAGGAATCGGCATCAACTTTAATTTCTAGAAATTCGCAGGAGGAAGAGTCGTTAAGGAGACGAGCTTTAGCGCTTGATTCAAGCATCAAAATGCTCCATTCGTTCATTTCCTCTTCCGTCAAGAAAGGAAATTTGGATCCAAAAGATGCCGAAAAAGTAAGGCCGTGTTTATTTGGTTGATTCTTATTTAACTCACAGATACTGAAGTATTGTAGGAATCTAAGCTAGTAAATGCTGATTTTCAATTGCAAATTCAAGTTATTATTGTGTGAATAGTGTTACTTGCAAGATTTTTTGGGTTATGAAAATGGATGCTTTATTTGGGACTTGGTTGATTGTTTGTTTTGTCTATGTGACAGTTCGTTGATGAGCTAAGTAGAGCGCGTTATACCTTGAATGAAGGAGATGCAGCTGCATTTCTTCCCAGCAAGTCTCATGGTGATTTGCTTTTATTAATTAAATCAATCCTCAATTCTTTTGTTTGTGAATATACCACTTTCTTGATTGTTTATGCCCTTCTTTTTCAAAATCGGTATGATTTTAAAAAATTTGGAGGAAAATTTTGTTAACTACATAGATCTTTTAAGAGCAACATTTATGAAAAATTTGGTTATTTGTTGTTAAGTTAAAACCATATAAAATTTATTTTGAAACTGATACATTTGACCCCCAAACTTAAAAAACCAGTTTTAGCTTAAGAATGTGGAATTTAGCTGTTGAATTGGTGTTGTTTGGTTACAGGAAGATTTTTGAGGATGTTTCTTGGTCCAATAAATGTTCATGCTAACAGAAAGGATGTTCAATTGAAAGTGAAGGAGGAATACAATAGGTTCAGGGTATGTTCTAAAGTTTGCATCTATAGTTGTTTTCTAAGGTTTGTCATATTTTGCAATGATTATGCCCATTAATTATCTCCTATTTCATATGCTAATCAGTGACCAGGTTCTGTCTGATGCAGTTTTCCTCCCATGACAATATATTATGCTTAATTCAGCCAGCATAGATGTTTTAACTTCCAATGAAACAGTGTTATCTGCTCCAATGAAAATTGGATCTTTATTGTTCTCATTAATTCATCTCTATGGATGTATGTATCGTTTATGCCTAAGGATAACAAACTACGGAATGCTTATGGATTGGTGTAATGAACCTAGCCATCTTCACAAACCTTAACTCACTGGAACCCCAAATGAAGCCATTGATACTCTGCAGCTACTGCTATCAGGAAAACCCTACCTCTGCGAAATTTGGCAAGTTTCAGAATTTTTGGAATTTTTAGCTTTTTGTTGTTCACAAAACCCTTGCCGATGCAGGGAAACCTTCCACAGTTTATACAGGCATACAGCTCAAAATGCCCTTCATATGACCACAAAATATTAATATGATACTTGAGTAGATGATTATTCCCCATTTTTGCCTTCACATGTAGATTTGGTGCTTTTGATTTGGTATTTCTCAACCATTCCCCATATCATCTAAGAATCAAGAATGCAAAACAATACAATGGGAGTACCCATTTTCGTTTCTCAACATGTCCATTTCCATTCCCTTTCCCATTCCGTAAAACGAACCAAGTGCTCCCTTAAGCTATATGCTTCAGAAGGTATATATTAAAGTAACATCTAACGTCTACTTCACTATACAAACAGTAAGTGAAGATAAACCCTCTGCCATAGAGTGTCTCTAAGCTTCCGTTTTTTATCCTTGGATTTGGAACCTGGAATGTTCACAATTTTAGATCACTTTTGTGATTTATGTTTAGTTTTCTTTGGCTCCATGCCTCTGTAGTTTCTTTTCCTGTTCCAAATGTCAACTATATTTCTGATTTGATAACTAGATATAACTTTAAGATGCTTTCACTTGGTTACCTTTTGCTGATGAGAGAACTATATTTTCTTCCTTTATTGGCTTTTATGAACCGCTTTATTCTATGAGCAGGATAGGACTGCGTATCTATTTCTCTTTTTCCCATCATTGCTACTGCTGCTAAGGTCGTGGTTTTGGGATGGATGTTTTCCTGCATTACCTGTCCAGCTTTATCAGGTAATTTGTGTTTTTTTCTTCGTACTATGTATCTTGGTCCTGTTAAAGCATACAAGTGAATGGACCTGTCATAAGAAACATAATTACTGTACCCTTTTCAGGCGTGGTTGCTCTTTCTCTACACAGGGTTGGCTTTGAGAGAGAATATTTTGAGAATTAACGGAAGCGACATACGTCCATGGTAATTTTACATCATTTTGCCTCTTAAACTTTTATTTCAAATGATGGTGTTTTGGATAATATTTCGTCAAGTCAATATGCCATCTTCCTTTATGGTTCTGTTACATTGAATTTGTACAAGTTGAGGATGCTATTTTGATGGATATTAGCATACAACTGATTTTATATCTGAGTGGATGTGCTATAAATTGTGATTCTTCAGGTGGATATACCATCACTATTGTGCTATGGTGATGGCACTCATTAGCCTCACATGGGAGATAGAAAGGCAACCTGATTGTTCCCAGAAGCAGGTTATACTATTATTTGTTTCATGCAACTTTCAGGCTCGAATCTTTTTATCTTATTTGTGTTTTTGATCTACTTGCAGAAAGGTATACAATTGTTCCTGAAATGGGCAATCATGCAAGGAATTGCAATGCTTCTACAGAACAGATACCAACGGCAGAGACTCTATACTCGTATTGCTCTGGGAAAGGTGCTGTTAATGGAAAACCAACAACTTTTTTCAAGCATGCTGACTTGATGTTACAGTTGAAAGGTTGCCATACAAAGAAAAAGAATAAAAAACAAATTGTTTAAAGTATATAGGCCTCTTAACCAAACCAAACGAACCCAGATATCCCACACAGAAGTAGGGTCTAAGGGGTGTAGGATGCACACAGACCTTGCCTCTATCCCAGAAAGTAAGAAGGTTGTTTCCATGAAGACACCCGGCTTGCAAAACAAAATCAAAAAACAAGGAGACGTGTGAGAAAGGTAACATAGGAGTGTATGCAAACACACAACAGGTACGAGGAACATAAGATAAAAGATGAAACAAAGCATAAATAGGACATGAAAAGAGGAAAAACTAAAGAAACTTTGTCTACCATAAGGCTCTAGTAACCTAAGTGCCACTACTTAACCCTTCCCCCCTACCCACCCTCTACCTTCTCTGAACTTCCCTCCTCCCGGCCATGTTATCTACAGGTCCCCGCACATAGTCAGCTACCCTAGTCCTACTTCTCCAAACACTCTTATTAAAGGTCATCTCCTCATAAATATCTAAGCACGCCATGTCCCTCAGCTGCTCCTCCCACGTTCTCCTTGGCCTACCCTTCCCGTCACCCCCTTGACCGTGATACTCTCTATCCTTCTCACTGGTGTCGTCATCTTTCTCCTAAGCATGTGTCCGAACCACCTAAGGGCCTGTTTGTTAGTAGCTTAACGAGCTTAATGGGACTCACAGCTTATTCAGTCAGCTATACATGGCTGTTTTTTAGTGGCTTAATGATATAAAAAGTGGCTTATGCAATAAGCTTCTAGGGGGGAGGTTTATGCAGAAAGTCAAGTTTTTTCCAAACCTGCCCCTCCCAATTAAAAAGCACGCTCCTTCCGTCTTTGAAAAAGCCCTCCCATACAAAAACCTTCTCAACTATGTAGACAGATTAATCCACACATACAACTGTATCCATACAGGACTTAATGGAAAACCAACCACTCGTCCTATTACAAAGTCATTACAATCTTGTATGTTCTTGCTTCTACACAAGATACGTGTTATAAGGAGTAAAATTGACCCTAAAATGAATAAGCAAAGGATCTTTGAGGACTCCAATTCTCCGTGCAGGCATTCATCAACTCTTCATTTTGATTGTAGGCTAGAAGAATGGATGTTGTGTGGGGAGAAACTGCTGGAGTAGAAGGTCAAATATGGCTGTTATACCCGATACTCTTCGTCTTGCAGGTGATTTTCTGTGATCTTGATTCTCTCTGAATGATTTGGAACTTTACTTATGCTTTCTAAGAATTATTTAGTTCACGAACTATATTGTTACCGAGAGCTATTTTGTTGAAGGTCATGTTAGGTCAGCAGGCATTCAGTATTTATGAATCCAGCCTTGAAAGCTACCCTTTGAAACTTTTCATGTCTGAATCATTCCCACTCCATTCCAAATTTAGAGTGCACTTTTGACTTGTAAGAGTCAAAGGAGTTAGTTCTCATATACTAAAATCAGTTGGAATTCTTTTGGTTATTCAAAGAATTCAGATTATACTAATCTGTAAAAAAAATATTTTCGTAGAACATGTTTACGTTAAGAGAACTAGAAGCATCAGTTTATGATTTTGAATTTGAAGTTTTTTAGGTCTGAAGTTTCAAAAACCAAAAGTGGATTCTAGTTAGGGGATGAAGGGAGTAGTGATTAATTGATTATAATCATACATAAAAGAAACTTGATCAACATTTGTTGGTGCATAGTCACTGGACCGCATAAGTCTGCCCATGTGTCACTTTAAATTCAGATTGCAACGGGAAGCATGTTAACCGGAATCATATGTCCCCTGAACCATAAGGTTACGAAGCAATTCCTTGTCACAAAGCAATCCTCTTTAATATCCTGATAAATTTGATGTGCCTAAGTTGTCATTATTTTTAGAACATAAAGAAAGACTCATTTGTTGATTTCTATTTACCCGTCTGTGAAACTGTCCTAAAACTTGTCTTCAGATTCATAGATTTAAAGTTCAACACTTCTTAGTTGAAAGCTGACTGCACTATAGTTTACCTGAGAACAAGATGTTGTTACAGCAGTAACTAGAAATTAGACCTGGAATCCCAACTGGCCAACACCCCTGGAAAACAACTCGTAGGATTAACTAACTACCTTGTCGAAGATTGTTTTGGCATAATTTACCATCATCAAAAGATCAATGTGCTCCCTCCATCCCAAAATAAATTTTCACAATGTAAAAGGCACACCATTTTAGAAATGTGTAATTATTGCACATTTTTTTATTAACCTCGATATCCGATCCGCTATGCAAGCCTACTAATCCCAGGGAGACCACCTGCTTTGTAGGTAGCCCGGAGTCACCGCATTGGAACCTCCGTGGTCACAAGGGGATTTGTATTCCTCCTTGGATTTGAACGTGGGACCTCCAGGCACTTTTGACCTTTAGAGCTCAAACTCAAATCAATCAGACACCACCCTTATGGTTAATTATTACACTTTTTAATTAGCTAAATGACAATTGTACCTTAATAATAGAGGGAGTAATGGCAATTATACCCTTAATAAAATGAGCATCTGCTAAATAAATTGATTTTCGCTCTTAGAAATGTGTACCAAAATTGTAGATGTTGCAATATTCATGTGCAAGGAAATATAAAATGATTGTTTTCTTATCTTAAGGTTATAGACTTGTAATTTATGTAGGTTGATTTAATCTCCTGTAATGAAGCATTTATTACTTAAAATTTTAATTCCAAACCAAAATAGTCATATTCCGGAACGAACATATTATTGGTTCGGTATTAATTTCTTTGACATTCGGCCATAGTCTTGGTTACTAGCAAGTCATACAAGTATTTACAAAGAGAAACACAGATGTATGGTTATATTTACCCTAAACTTACTTTCTCTTCATAGGCTTTTGAAGCATTCGTGGGTCTGCTGTTGCTGAAAACCGCAGTGGTTGGTGTCGTTTCTGAGTGGCAGGTACGTTGTAACAGTCGCATGCGTGGCCTCATGGTCGTGTTCTGTTTTTCCAATTATTCATCATTTAGAATCTACCATTATTTCATACAATCATATTTGTAGCTACTAGCTAGATTAGACAGGAGGAACAGAGTTGGAGAGATAAAACGTGGAGGATATGGTTAGCGAGTCGGTAGTTAGGTTACGAGCGTCCCAAGGTCATTTCGATCTTGTTACACATGTACCAAGACTATACATCGACTCGACAGTTATAAATAATACAAAATATAAAAGTTTGTCATGTATTATATTAAAAGTCTTACAAAATTAAAACAACGAAAATGTGTTAAAATGAGAAAGTAACATATGAAATCCACTTAAATAGAATTATTCTTCTAACAATCTTGAAAAGCCGAAATCAGGAATCGCCAGATCGGCTAAATAGAATCATTCTCTCTTTCACACACTTTTCACAAGTTGGGGGCTTTCACGAAAACAATCGCTCTATTCTTTAGGGTAGAGGTCAGGTTTGTGTACATATTACCCCCAAGATCGGAAATGGAACGTATCGGGATCTGTTTTATTTGTCTCTCTCTTTTACACAAATTTCACAAGCATTCGTTTTCATGGAGACAACTGCTTTACTCTTTAGGGTAGAGACCAGGTTTGCGCACATCTTACCACCAACGTCCCACCTCCGGGTTGGATATACTGGACTCGTTAGGGTAGAGATCAGGTTTGCGTACATCTTACCATCAACACCCCACCTCCGGGTTGGATATATTGGACTCGTTTGATTTGGTGTATATAATGTGAGTATATACTAAAGTTTGGAAAACCCAATTCATCTTTGGCAGGTAGTTACCTGCGGAATTCTTCTGATAATTATGGCTGTCGGGAATTTCTTAAACACAGTTCAAACCCTCGTGTCAAAATCGCGGGTGAAAGCCAAAATGAAAAAAGGTAAAAGCAAGAATGACTTGCTTCAGGTATCCTCATGATTTAGAAAATCATGTGATATTAAACTTGTTTCCTTTCTACTATGCCTCATTGGAGGCGTGACCGCGGTGTAGACCCCGGCTCCGCTTGGTTACCATCCGATGGTGCGTATTTTTGGCTGTTTATGTTAAGAGTGAACCCTTGGGTTTTATTAAACCTAGCTTTTTTATAGCTGTGCCCATGGTTCCATTGCAATTCTATTATGTTTATATGGTTTCACCAGTTTTGTGGTTAGCCGGTTCTCTAGAGACGAAAGGATGATTTTTACTACAAGTTTTTATAACATTATTGCTCCCGGAAAGCAATTTTATCACGGTTTGTAAGTACGGGGTCTTTATGGAAATAATTGTTTACCGTCTGAGCCGAAGGACAAGTTTGTATACATTCGACGTCGACACCAGAGATATATATTAGGCTCATTTGGCTTGGTTTGCATAGTATAACGCAACGTTTGGTTAATATAAACGGAGAACGTGACCAAATTGGTTTGAATTTTTCATTGAAGAATCAAAAAATGTAAATATTAAAAGTCAAAGGACTAAATAGATACTAATGTATATAAGTTGAAAAAGACCAAATTAGAAACCAATTATTTGAACTTTTTTGATGATTAAAGCTCGGAACATTTTTGTAAATAAATAAATCATTGTACCTTTTGATTTAAAATGATGAAGTTGTTGAATATTTTTTAAGACCAAATTAGAAACCAATTATTTGAACTTTTTTGATGATTAAAGCTCGGAACATTTTTGTAAATAAATAAATCATTGTACCTTTTGATTTAAAATGATGAAGTTGTTGAATATTTTTTTTGAATAAATAAATTATAGAACTTTTATAAGTTGATTTGTTATATCATTTTAACCTAAAAAATATACTTATAACCAGCTACGAAAATTTTAACAGTATAAAAACTTGAACAAGTTTTACTGTTTCCAAACCATACTGTCATTCAAACGTCACACCCAACAACATTGCTCGCTTTCGTTACTCCATCCTCATCCACTCTCTATTATCGCTCATCGTTGTTGTTACCTCTTGCCCTTGATCTTCATCTTTTTATTTGTTTTGTCTTCTGATTTTATTTTTCAACGATTTAATGAAGTATGCATGTATACAGATAAAAGAGAATGTTAACTGAAATATTTGGAAAGTTACTTTTTAGTGAGATTTTCTAAAATAAGTTTTTGTTAGAAAAAAAGATACTTGTTTATTTTTCAAAATTATCTTTTAATACCTTTGAAGTCTGATTCGTTCAGACATTTGGGTATTAAAAGCGGTTGTTTTATTTCTAAAATAAGAGCTTGAAAGCTCTAAATGTCCTCTGAAATTTTAAGTGGCAAACATATCCCTTAATACCTCTTAATCTTAATCCGCTTGTATCAAATGGTTCATATTTTGGGGGCCGGAAGAGATTTGTTAGAAAAAAAACTATTTATCTTTTATACTTTTGTAAAAAAAAACTATTTATCTTTTATATTTTTGCACTAGTTTGACCAATTTAGATTTCAGACTTTAAACGTAAAAACAAACAGTCTTACTGATCCATATTTCAGACTTCATGACCACCTCATATAAATCAAAAGTGAAATCAGACTTCAGCACCTTTTAAATAACTAAAGTCACCTAAATAAATCATGATTATGATTGGTCGCTAGTTCATAATTCCATCCAATTCAAAAATGGTATCAATTAAATTAATATGATATTACATACAAATGTGTCAAGAAGCCTTTGGTTTATGTGAGAAACACCCATTTTTATGAGTAGTGAAAAATGTAAACCTTCAAATAACGCAATGCAAATATAACTTTACATTATGTGAAGGTTACCGTCTTTATAAAACATAAATATAACGTAACATTCACACAATACAAAAATATCTGCAAATATTTCTCATCTTTTCACAGAAATGAAATTTCCCACGTGGTCCCAAGTCTAAATACCAAACAGTTTTGGGTGGTGTTATCAAATCAATTTGTCAAAGACAGATTCTCGATTACATATAATGAACAGAACTTGTTCCTGTAGAAACGTCAGAATTGCCCAAAAGCCAATAAATTATTTCTCTATGGATATGGAAATTACTATTCATCGTCAGAAGATGTTCAAGATGAGCCCAAATGTTCAGTTATCACAATAAGACCAGTAATTCAAGGAACAGACAGCTGCAAAAGATGAAGAACAGTCCCGACAAACCTCATGCCTATTTAAGAAGGTTTGCATTCTCAAGGAAGACATCAGATTCTTTTAGAGTATTTTAGTTTGTATGTCTAATATATCCAATGATAAACTTGTACCCTCTACGTCCCAATGTTCCAAATCTCTAGATCTTCAGCTTATTTTTTCTCCTACCGTCAGCAATAGGAGCGTGATTTGGTAATACGCCTTAACGACCAATGATTAACGATGGCTATGATGGGCGGTTTTGCTAGAATAGGTAAAATGAGATCACTGTTTTAGTAAATGATGCAAAGAAAAGTGGTGACATTGATCTATAAGTAGCTCAGCAAACTCTTGAAATAGCGGAAGCTGCTTTGAAAAAAGCTAAAGGAAAGAGAGAAACAATCAAGACAAATCTAACTCTCCGACAGGCTAGGAAACGAGTAGAGGCTATCAATGCGATTTCATAACCAGTCAGTGCATCCGAACTGATCATTGATATTCAAACATCGTTCTCTTTCCTTTGTTCTAATTCATGATCTGGACGAGTCACACATACACCCTAGTACATGTTCCTTGACGTTGAAGGTATCCCTAAAGCGCAGGGGATTTTGTGACATTTCTAATTGGCCGTCTTGTATTTCTAATAAGTTGTCTAATAGTTGGCATATTAAATCATATACATAATGGGTATCATGATCATATCTCCGTTTGGTATCAGAGCCAGAGGAGTAGTGAGCATCACGGTTTTTCCATTTAATAGTATCAAAGATTTATCCGTATGAAGACGAGTAATGTCATATTTCTAAACCCGAAGTCTATATCAGACTAGATGGAAGTTTACATTATAATTTACAAACAATGACCATCGTTCATAGAAACACTTTCGAAAACCCAACATGAATCCAGTTCGATCTTCTGAAAACTTAACATGTATAACATGGAAATAAAAGTTTATACGTTCTTGATTTAACCATTCCGTTTCAAAAAGGCCTACGTAAATCATAGAAAAACACGAATAGAGCTACGCTACACCTTACACAGAGGTCGGAATGAATGATAATAATACGATACCTTCCTCGGTTTATAAAACATAACTATTGTCAGTGAGAATTCTTAACAATTCAAGATGGAACATGAGAAACTCTGAAGTCAAAGAGGGAGTAGACACATCTGCAGCATGCATGCTACCCAAGAAGTCACACCTACAAGTATCAATAAGTTTAGTTGTTGTTTTCAAAAAGATTGTAGTTCAAGATCAAACACATCTACAGATAAAAATGAAAAAAATGGTTGGTATTTCGAAAAGTTTTTGGGCGTCCGGGCCAACTTGTGTGCACCTTGACTAATCTCATGGGACCCTGAAGTTAACGGTCAAGCAAAACTCTAGGTGACTCGAACTGGTGACTTCTATGAAACAAATCCAAGATTTTATCAGTTGAGCTACCCCTCATAATCTTGGCCTTAATTGCAGTCTTGTAGTTACGGCAAAGAGATGTAGTCCCCATGAAATGGGGGAAAAATAGATTCTTTAGAATGCGTTTGGTACGCAGACAGTATTGGACGGGAAAGTGAGGTAGGTAAATAAAAGAATTGAGCAAGTTTTTCGGATTTTAATTTGATGCGGGTAGTTTAGTAATATACCAATCTTATCTCATCTTCTTGATTTATGTACCACCTATTTTGGTGGGATAGAAAAAAATGCATAGTCGTCCCACTCGGTCCCATCCAGTTTTGTCCCATTCTAAATGTCGCACTAAACATGGACAAGTTTTTTTTTTTTTTGATTAACCTGGATATACAACCCCGCTATGCGAGCCAACTAATACCAGAACGACCACCTGCTTTGCAGATAGCCCGGAGTCACCGCATTTGAACCTCTGTGGCCACAAGGGGATTTTTATTCCCCCTTGAATTTGAACCTGGGAGCTCCAGGTACTTTTGACCTTTGGAGCCAAGTTCAAACCAATTAGGCACCACCCTTGTGGTTGGACAAGAAGTTTTCGGTTTGTACTGTTACATCTTGTCAAATGTACCAAATGCACCCAGAGGTTTTTGAGTTTTAATACCAGACTTGAGGCTTGCTTAGCAAATTAATGAAAAGGATGGCATTTGTTAACATTGTGTTATGTCCCTAATTAGTTGCAAGCATCAAGGGTGAAGGCTTAATAAAGAACCAACCTATTTCTTTTTTCTACCACCTCCACTCTTTGCCTTTTTGTTGGCTGATTCTTTTCCAGCTTTCTCGCTCGTTTCCTGTCACAAAAGCACTCAAGAAACGTCATACATATGCTACAGACACGCATATATATAGGTGGTTTCATTTACAAACTCAACCATTAGTACAAACCAATCTCAACCGTTCATCTAGTCTAATGAAATATATGATAACCTTCCATAAATATCTAAATCATAATAAATAGACTTCCATCATTTCTATAAATATCTCAATTAATTGGTTTGTATAGCTTGTACTAATGGTTGGGTTTGTAAGAGCTCTCTCTCCTCTCTCTCTCTCTCTCTATATATATATATATATACACACACACACATATGCATATGCTACGGAGATAATGTCCTGTTTCTGCAATTTCATGGCAACCAAACGCTGCAGTTTTTAATTGAGACCAAGTTCGAATATCATCAACGTGAAGCTATACAAAATTAAACAAATCAAAGAGACTTCATCTTTCTACTTACACCCTCGAATTCAAGTTATAAAAAGACTCGAGGGCATGAAGATGTACACAGAGCATAACATTTGTGGAATATAAACAAAGGTTTGGAGTAATTTAGGAGAAAATAACCTTCTGACACTTTCTTCTAACATATTTAAGAACATTTCTGCTTAACAGAAGAATGTCTCTTTCTAACACAAGAATGCCTCAAAATCTGTCAAAAGGTCCCGTATTTAGAAAAAAAAATCTGTCCGAAGCTTATTCTCCTAAATAACCCCAGTTTCCCTAAACATATATTTACTTAAATAGGTGCAAAAGATTATTTATCTGGTTCAAGAATCTTGCAATTTCAAACAAGTCAAGAGATGAATCTTTCAATGTATTATGCTGATATTGAAAAACAATGGTCAGAGGTTTATTCACATGGTTATGACTTATGAACGTATTTAACAAATAAAGACGATAATAAGCACTACTCAGTTCTAAAGATTCACCATTTCGGCATCATGTTCCAAAGCAGACACCTTTCGATGACATCATGGGCTGCCTGGAATGCAGACCTAGAACTGGAGGACTAAAGCTGCTTATGATCTGTCGGGGTGATCGACTGAATATCTTACTCTTGATTACTTGTTTGGAAGATCCAAGAATGCATTTAGTTTCCTGACATTCAGTGACTCAATTATGGTAGATTATAAGGAATGGGAGAAGTTCAAACAAGAACCATAAATTTTGAAAACCAACCATTTCATGTATTATTCATGATGAATATCACTGAATAATCATGAATATATATCACGGCATTTATCATGAATAAAGCATGAATAGTTTGGTTTCCAGGTTCTCAAAATATCTACGGTTCTCATTATTAGGACTACATTCCAAATTAAGCACAAGCATCAAGAATTTGTGGCCATCTGATAGATATTGATTAGATAGTTTTACATTTCTTTTTTACTTGTTTTATGTGGCACCCTATAAGAGAAATTTATAACGTATTTATGATGGTGAAGCTGGGTTTCAACTAGGGTTGCTCAAGTGGTTGCAGCTTGCTCTTAATAAAATATGAAATCATGAATTCAAATCTAGAACTTGTGAATTGCCAAGACGCATGAATGGTCGGGCAACCAAAAACATGGTGAATCCAAAGTCACTCAGTTACAAGACTAGCATAGAATTTCACGATCCCCCAAATGGCATGATTGAAAGAAAAACCTACCACCATGGAGCTCGACTATTGATTAAATATAGCTATAAGCCTATAACCACTTAAAATATATATACATATATATGGGGGGGATACAGTGGATGATTCAACTATTATCGAATGAAACCATACCTTCCTTTTAATGGGAGCGGATGTGCTAACGACTGGTTTAAAGAACGACTCTAATCTGGTGGAGGGAGAGAGAGAACAGGTAAGTAAACACAAAATCAGGAATGCAAAGTAAAAAATCACTTCAATGAATAAATCGGTTGATTTCTTACCGGTTTTGCGAAGATTTGTTCTTGGAAGCTTTTATTTTTTCTACTGCCTATTATTAGACCATAATTAGTTACACACACACACACACAAAAATATCAATAAAGTAGTGGAAGAACATGAACAGATAAAAAGAAAAGGAATTGATAAAATCATTTGGTGCTCTTGCCTTTGTGACTCTGTCACTGTTGAATCCATTTTCATTCACCAAGAAGTTTATCAAGCCCTGGAAGTGAAAAAATGAAACAAATTAACCCTCTGGAAATTTCAAGAAATAAAAGAAAAGAAAATAATTTGATATCTGAGTCTTCTTTACGCAGACTCACTTCTTCATCTGGAGCACTCCATTTAATTTCAAGCTGATCATCATCAGCACAGACCAATGGTTCTTTGAAAAGGCGTCGAGCCTCCTCATATGGCCAATCATCAGGTATTTGATATCTGCATACATCGAAACATATACTAAGCGTAAATGTTGAATAAATATTTGGACAGAGTTATTTTTTATATAAGATACAAGATAAAAGAAGCAACATGAAAAGTTGTAGTTTATGGCGCTATAAGTATGCCTGCATATTGATGTTTGATACTCAAAAAATTGAAACTGAACCAATTAGCACAAACATTTGAAGATAAAATAAGAAAATGAAAATGGGCTATGGGGGCTTGTGCTTTTTTAGCTTATTGAGACACAAGTTCCTACTCTTCATGAATATTTTGGATTAGCAAAGTACCAATGTTCTATATCAGAACATATTTCAAAAGAATATTGTGAGAGTATATAAGCTAAAAAGTAAAAACTGAATTGATCATTAGCTATCAGCGATTGTTTCTGATATAAGCAAACTTAAACTAAAGGGTATTACTTCTACTCATTTGCAGCAATAAGACAATGTTATGAAAGATCAATAAGGAATACAAAGAACCTTTCTCTGTTTATATTCTCCAGAATGCTCTCTATTGACCCATGTTGACGGATGAGCTTCAAAGCCGTCTGGCCACCAATACCTGAGATTTAGAAGAAAAGAAAACAAGAAATTTAATCAGAAAGTTGTGTTGGATGTAGCTAGAGCAGAAAAGAGTAACCATTACAATTTACATTAAAAGATGCTTAAAATTCACTAAAAGAAACAATAATCATAAAAATTTTGCTCTTAGAAGAAACATAAAAGTTGAAACTGACAAGCATAGCACATTAGGGGAACAAAAACATTCATACAAAGTTGAAGTTCAAAGAATGAATACATTTGTTATCCTACATAACTAGTATCAGAATTCAGATCAGGGTATATGTTTAGCTTTGTCATGAGAGCAATGACGTTAACAAAAGCCACAAGATGCAAATCATTCTAATGGCAACCAAAAGGAGCAGAGTTAGGAGTGAGCAAAGATTATCAAAGTAGCAAGCCACTGAAGGGGAGAAAAGCAATCACTTCATCCAAGAAAAGGAACCTTATTGTCGTGGCTTACTTATAAGTTATTAAGTTGCAACTTGCAACTTACAAAATTATATAAATTATATAAATAAATTGTTTCCATTTATATGTTTACCATTTCAAGCAACATTCAAAAACTTACTCATAGAAATGTAAGATTTTAGGCTCTTAATATTTTTTTTTCCTTTCAATCAAAAAGGGTGAAATCAAATAATATTTTATGATGTTCTACCATTAAATGTGATGCCATATATAGTGGCAGCAATATGCTCGATAATACCAAGAGTCCATACTAAAACATATGACGTGGCTTGAGCCTCAGAGAACCCATAAAATAGTCTAAATGTTGATTTACGGCTACAATATACCTACACGGAAAGGTCAGATTTTCAGCATATATTGTGATGGAATTATGCATTACCCCTAATGCTGTCACAATAATCACACCCACATAGAATGCACAGATCAATAAATTGATCCATCGTAAGGTTGAGTTCCTCCAATACCTGACATAAAATCAGCAACTCAACGTTAAGACAATAGTCAACAACCATAATTGCCATTTACTTTGTTAAATTCAGCACCTTAGAAATATCAAATTCCATCACAGGGATCTTTCGTGAGCTAGGATCCATTAAATGGCGAAGAAATTTGGGTGCTCCAAAAGTAAGGGAATCCATATCTTCAGAGGCAACAGCATAGACCTGAGAAGTTGTATGTTACACAGGAAACTAAGCGAATAATGTTGGTCACCACAGCAAGGAAACAAGAATGGAGATATTAAGATGATTTAGTCACAACTTATCACATTCTATAGACACAAAGGTGTGCATCTTCAGCATCCAATGAGAAATAAGTAAGCATCTTATGTTTTTTCTACTGCATTATCTCATAGAATAGAGGCATAAAACATAAACCAAATATAAACAAACGAACCATGTATACCCCACCGAGAGGGTCTTTTATATGTGCAAAAGCAAGTTACTTTTCAATTCCAGCCTCCGCTTGTATATAAAAGTAGTACCTACTAAAATGTTCCGAGTCCTGTCACGCCTTATCTGTGATTAAGTTGTGGGTGATTACTCAAGCAAAGACAACATTGATCTTTTTCAGCTTGAAGTTAATATAGATGATCAGATTTCATCTTGTATGATAAAATGAAAACAAACACCAGTGAAACAGCTTCTAAAACATCTAATGCTTGCATGTTCTGTTTGCATATAGAATCGAGTCCTTGTGAATGCACAGAGCCAGCTGTTACCTACATCTTATGACGCCATTGGCACCTCCTTTCATCTATAATGATCCCAACAGAAAAAAGATGTCCTCCATAACCTTTTTCCTGTTCAGAAATGCTCACTGCTTTGTGCTCATCTTACTTCAGTTTAGTCTAAAACCTTACAATACCAAGGCATGGATTCATCCTTCTTAACTTTCATCGACACATTGCCTGATCTCACCAATCAACGTGATATCACCAGCAAAAAGTATAAACCGTAGATTCATCAACACCTTTAGCATCTCTTTATGATTTCTTAGCTTCCATTCGGCTCATCTATATACTTCTCTAGATTTTCTACACTCTCACAGTCATCTAAGAGTTAAGCATCGTTTCTTATTCTTGCCTCCTCACTCCACAAGTGATTTTAGCTTGATAACCGCTCAGTCTGCTTTTTCCAACCACATCCTTTACTACCCTTCAAATGCAGATTGGCATTTATGTCACATCTTAGCTTCCCATTTGATAGTCCAAGACTCTTCGTTAATAAGATCATTATATATACTTCAATGCTTGGATTATCTCATCTTTTCCACCTCCTATCTCCTAGGTGCTTAACACCCTTACTCCATCCAACACCATGCCTAATTTTGATGTATGCAACTACAAGCCTATTTCTGTCATTATACACTCCCCAGCTATATTTTACAATCGCAATCAAATACAATAGTTAAAAATGATCTAATATACAAAGCATGATGAGGACCAAGCTGGAACTAACTCAATTCTAAATGAATGTAACAATAAAACCAATAAATGTTTTAGGCTATGCACAAATATATATGCCTACTCAGCTTTGCAAAAACATTATGATGACCAAGCCGGACAGAACCAAAGATATTATAATGATTGTAATGGTGAAACAAAGAGAATTATTTCGCATATACACGAAGATACATACCTTATCAGCTTTGCAAAGCGCTGCACACTGTGCTTCTGCTTCAGATGGAGCCTACAAAAGTCCACAGGCTAGTAAATAAAAATAAGTTCATATGTGAACTTAGACTTACGTTATACTTGCACTTCATATGTTTTGTTCAACTTCTTTTCTCCTTTTCACAATAGAGTAACAGGGGAATTGTACTACCATAGTTGAACAACTCCTTTCAGACATGACTATTAAGCAACAAAACCAGACAAATGTGTGAGCACCTACACTCCTTTTTAAGATAGTTACCTCAATGACAGGCACTCCCATAAGCCTTAAAAGTTTTTTGCAGTCCTCGTTATGTTGTCTTGTTACCTAGAAAGGATGGAGCACAAGTCATAAAAACACATTTAATCTCTTGCAATTGCTTCTCTGGGAGGAGGTTGAATTGAATCATTAGTAAGGACGTCCCATAAAGATCAATAATTTGAAATCAACAATTCAACACACTGTCAGCATCTTGCAGGATACAAGCTTGACTTATGGTTCTAAAACTTGAATAATTCCTTTATTTTCTCCTTTTGTTAAGTCTGATCTAGTAAAATAAGAACTGGGTGAGGCAAGTTAAAAGCTATTTCTTACGTTGTAGTCATGAGCATTTACGTAATTCCATATAGCATTTAGATTGGATAGGTTGTTGGGAGAGTTTGATGGTTAAGATGAGAGAAGCAATCCTAAATTCCCCAGTCCTACACTGGTGAGACTTCTCCATGCTATTACGATTGTGCATGGCAAATATAACCCAGCACGCTTATATGTGATAGCCACTATAGAACTGTAGCATTTTAGCACTTTTCAGAATTCAGATGGCAGATATACTTTAACTTAAAAGATGATGTTTTCTAGCAAACAGCAGAGTATTGACTTCCTGTATAAAATTTATAGCCTGTCATAAGAGCTTAAAGTTATTGCTTGAAATGATCTGATTTCGTAACAGTAAGGATTTTTAATTTCGATACAAAGTGGCACTGCATGCAACAGCCTTGTCCCTTTCAGCATTGTTAGTTTCTTAGTGGCTACTATTTAATCAGATAGACCAGAACCAATTGTGGATCATGACTCATCCTAAAAACAGTAGACCATCTGTGAACCATACCAGGCTCACGGTTGAGAAAGGTTATAAAAAAAGATTGTTATGTTCCCTATTTAATAATCATGTTTATTTTTTTTCTTTCTGTTATTGCTTTGCTAACTCATGTCTGACAAAAACAAGGCCTGCAGCTATCACTTTTGCACCCAGATTCAAGATAAGTATGGTATCAATACCCACATAACATGCCTATATCATCATCCTAACAGCAGCCAAAGATCTTTTTAACTTACACAACCATATCACTAGACAGATTACTAAAACAATCAAAAAATATCTCACAACAATCAATATGCAACAACTATAGAATAATGCTTCTATCGCCATTTCACATTCCAAAGACGAGAAACATGTCAAAACCAATGTGCTTCGAAATTGACGGGAGAAATAAATGGCCCAAGCACCAGCTACTTTCAACGAGTAGCCTATCATAAATGACTTGGCAAACAATATACATACAATTGATTTCTCTGGGCTTCCTCAACAAAGATGAAAAATTACTGAGTGCTATGGTTACCACTCTTTCTAAGCTAAATAATAGAGAAAAACACAGATATGCTCCAAACCTACCTTCACTGTACGTTTACTAAATTTCTCGATCTCGTCCTTATTGCCAGCCTACAATAACAGCAAAAGCAGTATGTGAAAGGGATTAAATAGCATGAAGAACACATAAAAAGGTAGAGAAATTGAAGAAGGTAAAAAAGAAAATGAAAGCAAGAGTCAAATGCATTACTAAGTGAAAACAAATCCCATGTTACCTGTATGGCATCATTTAAATCAGCAGTTGCATCTTCTCTCCGCGAGTAACTGTGTCATAACTCCAGAACCATGTAAACTAAACACAGTTGACATCATTTTACAATATCAACTGGACATGGAATGGAACAAGTTTATTACCGTTTTGCAAGCTCTTGTTTCTTTAAATCAGGAGGTGCCCCATCAAAAACATAGCTATAGAAAGGAAAGGGAAAAACAGTTATGAACACTAGACAGTTTGTTTGTACAGCAACATGATCAAAATAAATATGTGAAAAATGAAACAAAAACCAGATGCAGGTCCCATATGATCAAATGGAGAGAAAAATTGAAATTACACTGGCTTTAATCCAGACTCCAGAAGCCTAATCGTCCGATTGAACATCCCTTGTAAATGGCTGCCATATGTACAACCAATTGTAAAGTTAAAGCTCAAAGCGCCCTTTAACAAGCATACATATGATATCATGATAATATATAACAATTTCCCAAAGAAGCGACAGCACCCAGCCTTAACTGACATACCAGTCAAGCCACAAATCAACGCACAAGTTCTTGATGATTAACTCCTAAAAATACATAAGAATCTAATAATAAAAGAAAAAGAAGCACATACATTCTAACAAGTACTCCCTCTATCCCAAAAGAAATGAAACGATCGACTTGCCACATAGTTAAGATAAGTTTCTAACAAATGGTCCAATACCAACGATACCACTTAACAAGACAAATTTGAGAAAACTCCTGGAATACAATCAAAATGTCTTGTAGTGATTAGTGATTACTAACAGGCAAATGAGTAAATTTGCAAATGAATCTTTCAAAAAAAAACATTGCATTTTTACAGATAACCGATAATAGGAAGTGTTAAACTTTTATTTTATTATTTTCTTTTTTTTTTGGGGGAGGGGAATGGAGTTTAGATGACTGTATTTCTTTTACAAAACGCTAGATTGTTTTTTGATCAACTAAGGAGAGCCCAAACGGATATCACAGTAAGGGGTTGTTTGGTTGGTTTTCCATTAAGTCCTGAATGGTTAAAGTCTTAAAGATGTTTGTGTGGATTTATTTTTCTGTACGGATAGGTTTTTGTTTGGGAGGGTTTTTCACAGATAAATGGAGCATTTTTTTTAATTGAGAGGAGTGGGGTTAGAAAAAAACTTCGCTTTCCACGTAAAACTCCCCCTATAAGCTTACCGAACAAGTCACTTTCCATGTCATTAAGCCACTACCAAGCAGTCATGTGTAGCTGACCAAATAAGCTTCAGTCCTATTAAGCTCGTTAAGCTGCTAACAAACAGGCCCTAACTGTGCTGTATCTCGGCAAACTTAAATCAAAAAATTAAAAACATGAACACAAAAAATAGACTATATATACACAGACAATGTAAGAATCAAGTATGGGCTGAGAAAAGACTTTCATAGGCGTAAATGTTAGAATATAAATTCCAAAATTTATTGATCTTTTATCTATGATTAATATGTGAAAAGTGAAATTTCATTCGAGTCGCTACCTGGTCACCTCACCCGCCTCATTTGTCAGCATTTCTGTACCACTTCGTCCGACAACAATCTACAGCATTTCCAATTCATACTAAACATGATACATAATTGTATACTAAATATAACACATAAGCAAAGTCATATATGTTCAAATGGAAAGAGGGGCAAAGGAATTTCAAGTACCAGAAACTGGTAGATGCTCATGCTAGCATCAATGGCGATTTTCCGACCAAAATAACTTTCAAATTTTTGCTCTTTCATGGCCTTGGGAGCATTGTCCGCTAGAAGCTTGGTTAAACCCTAACCGTTTAAATTCAAGAAACAATTTCCACAACCACTTTAAATTACCAAATTGAAAATGTAACAAGAAGGAATGATTATTAATTTTCGTAAAAAACCTACCTTTATCCCCATCTCTGTGGAGTGATTGAACAATCAACAAGAAATTAGAGCGAACGACCACAGATGGTGTACCTGAACTAGGGTTTTTGACACTTTTCCCGCCTCTTCCGACTGCCAATATATCCATGGTAAGTTTCCTTTTGCCCCTCGAATTATCAAAAATATTCCTCCTCAGTCCTTCACATTTTTTAAGGATGTTCACTTTATCAAATACTCGTTTTCTTGCCTACTATAAGCCAATATCAAAAAGGAAAATCACTAAAACGACTAAAATATACCTGATGTATTAATGAAATAGTCAATTTTTATCAAAATTGTCAAAATGACCACAAGGATCGCGTCGGGAGGCATGGTTTAACCATGGGGAGCGATCCATACTAATTTGACCTAATAATACCCAAAAAAAAATGGTGGAGCCCACATATATCTACATTAGGAAACCAATATTATTTACCTCGATAATGGGGATCTAACCCAGAGGGCGATCCCCACTTCACTGGATTTACCACCGGGGGGGGGGGGGGGGTCCATGCATTTTTTTACCACTATTTTGTCTTTTAGTGTATATTTAATGGGTGTTTTTAATAAATAAGAGACGATTTAAATTGTTTTTTTTTTACCTTTTTAGGACCAAATGTCATGGTTTTAGTTTATAAAATAAAATATTTCTACTCTCACAACCCGTAAACACAGTCTACCGTGACAACTCTTATAAAAATATGATTGTACGTGAAGATAAATAGAAGTCCTCAAACCTATCTATGGTAAATGTTTATTGACTGTAGTACTCGAGCCCATATGGCTTGTTAAATAAAAAAACAAGGGGAACAAAATGTTGCATCCAAAGTCTTTGAATATTCAATCTAGGGATGCTACTTAAACCAATAAGCTTGAAAGCTACATTTACGAGTTTCTGGTCCAGATTTTGAAAACATAGAAAGTGCAGGTTGAAAATGACCAAAATTCATATAAGCTCGTCGAATTGTATCTTGTTGATTGATAGGATAATCATAAACTTAATGACGCAAACCAGGGTCTCGTTCTAGTGTACCCAGATCAAAATCATTACTTTTCGTTTGAGCTTTTTTGCAACGGTTTTCGATAGGCGGAACACTACATGCAGGGGTATTATCTACATTTGTTGTTTCTTCGGGATCTTGAGAAGAAGAACTAGCATGTTTTCTTTTAAAAAACTCATGAACAGTAGATTGAGTTTTCATCTTCATCTACATGTGAAACATATTTAACACTTAAGTACTTGACCAATTTGACAAAAAAAAAAAGGGGACTTCCTAAACTGAACAACTTTAAAACCAATTCATATATACTCATTCAAACAAGCGATGAACGGATTGGACTATGGTCAATGGAACCTAAAGTCCTAAATTTAATCAATAGATGCTTCTATGTTAATGACTTAATGTTCTATCTATCAAACCCGACCAAATTATCAAACAATTTCTAGCAAATTAAACCTAATCAGAAATCAAACAATTTAAAACTCATTAAGGCTCAAGCAATAACATTTTAAACCCAATCAAAGCATCAAACAAATTTAGACCTGAATCACCTAATCATTAATCAAACAAAATTTAGACAATCAGGCCTAAAAAGATTTGAGTCCATTTCAAGTTTTCAACCAGAAACCTGGAGGAGACGCCGCTCAAACAAAATAACAAGACTGCCAAACATGAATTGATGAAACACAATGTACTCAATAGTGTTTTTGGAGGCTGTGTGGTTTGAGGCGTGTGCGATCTTTGATGGAGAAGGTGAGAAGTAGAGTAGAATTGCAGTCGCAGAACGGCAGAAAGCTGGAGCCTAGAGGACACGCCACTGAATTGATTTATTGCCTATCGACGTTATGTTATGGTTGGGCCGGCTGGCTTGTTAGACTTGGTAATCTTATATATATTAAAGAAGAAACCACGTCCAGTGACGTGGCCTCTTCTAAGGCCTGAAAACTGATTTCTGTGCTCTCTCCTTTTCTCAAGCTTATTAGTTAATATTTACTTAAAACCTTTCAATATTCACCGGCTTTCTTTTCCGTTTCCGTTTCCTCTTCATTTCCTTTTCCCTCCACCCTCTCCTTCAAGATAGGGTTTTTGTTATCTCCCCATATTCTCTCCATCTTTTTCTGGTTTTGATTTCAGTTTCAATTTCAATTTCAGACAAACCCTTCATATCTTTCATCGACGATTAAACCTAATTTCTTCTTCAATCTGTAGCCTGGTTTTATTGATACGTGCATTGAATGCCGATAGGCATCCATTGATACCCCATAACCATTTGGTAGTTTTCTTCTTCATGTTGTTAAGTTCCTTCCTTCAATGGGCGTTGATAATGGCGGCCATTAAGATTATGATTTGGCCTCATGTTTTGCACTCTTCCTATTTCCAATTATTTCTCCTGATTATATGTTGATTGTTGATTATTTGTTGGTTTTTCARATCGGATTCTTTGGGGCTCCGGAATACGTGATTAGTTGCTCATTTTCTATTGAATTTATCAAGTATTCTGCAAAGGTACGATGATCTCCATTGTTAAACATAAGTGTTCCTTTTCTATTTCTATGAAAAATTGTGCAGCTTCTGTATCTGTACTGAGTTGACTCATTTGTATATGTCTATAGACACTAAATTCAAGTGCAAAATCATGGCTGAATTCATGTGCTGAATTCAATCCTTCATTTGTTTGAGATGGAATTAATGTCTGTATTTCGTTTATCCGGGTATGGCCRGAAGTGGGTTTCTTCTCCGCCAGTTCCGCCATCACCACCACCACTTTCGTTGATCCGAGAATGGTCGRAAGTGGGTTTCTTCTCCGCCATAGTTGTCATGGTTCCCGCCTATCGACACATCAATTCCTAAACCCTAGCTTTCTCTGGCTTTCTTTCTCTCTTTTTCTTCCCCCTTTTTGTTACTTCTGGTAAGTAATTAAAGAAAAGAATACATATTTTTCCCTTCAATTTTGTAATGCTAAAATAGACTATGGTTAATCATTGTTTTAATCGAAAGGCATCTGGATGGTGATTTTTCTTTGATTTTTTTTTTCGTTATTGAATTTGATTCAGGAAAGAAAAAGATTGGGTCTTTTTGAGGGTTTGAATACATGTCCTTCAATCAACCAAGGGGTGATAAGAATGAGCCGTCACAGCACAGAAAATTGGGTCGATCTGGTAATGCTGCCTTGCAAAGGAACTACTCTGGGGGTGGCGGGAAGGGCGGCGGCGGAGGAGGTAGTACCACCGCCCCACCATCCTCCTCTTCATCTTCTTCTAATATGGTTAGATTATGTAATGATTTCGAATAATTTTTCTTCATTTTGCTTTGGATTTGTAATTGTTTCGTGTTAGTATTTTTCAAATTGATATGCAATTTGTAGAGAAAAACATGGAAGATTAAAGTGATTGAGAACTGTACCGAGAACTACTAAATAACTGGAAGCCTAAAATCGTCTTCTCTGGTTCCATCTTCTTCACCTTTTTAGAGGTTTTTACTTGCAGATCAACATCGTTCCCGGTGTCCCCTCATCATTCAATCAGCTAATTTTCTGATTCGTGATTATGGATCGTTAATGCTTCGCCAAATTCATAATCAAACATTCAAACGTTTGATTCAGTTATACTAATCGTTCCTGTCTTTTCTACATGTTGTTTATGACATTCTTGCGCTTTTGATCGTGTTGTATTTGGTAATTTAAGTATGTATCCGCTTTTGGTTGTGTTATTTGCTAATCATCTTTGTTTCTCTTCCCTGTATATATTATATGATATTTCGTGTATTAATGCACTTGTGGATACAYTGTTACTACTTTATATGCGTAATCCTTATTACTGAATGAAATGAAAAGTTGTTGTCTTCAAGAATATTGTGATGATTTTAACTCTGCATTACTTCTCCATGTGATKAATTTTTGAAAACATCACATCTTTATTTTGCTTCAGACACTAATTTACACCCGAAATTCTGAACTGATAATGTTTTCATATTTTGGTTTCTATACTTCTCCAGGGTACTCTTTAATCTATTTCAGCTTTATAATGTTTAGTCATGTAGTAGAAGCTATGGACATACTCCTTTGTTTATTACATGTGCACAGCTAACTGCGATGTGAGAACAGGGTATATTTAGATTTTAACCACTTGATAATATCTGTAACAGGTTTTCAGGTCACGAAACTACAATGCGGTTCTTTACTGTCTTAGACAGGTATTGGATCTTTTTCTTAATTGTAATATGTTCTTCTTAGTGCACCCTATATTTAATGGTGTTTTTGATCGTGGAATCTGTTGGCAGTTATTTGAAAAGGTTGAGGTGGACATATTTGTGTAAAATATGATAYCACWGTTATAMCTTGTGTGATTGTGTAATTGCTTATTTCACAATGAAGATAAGAGATTCTTCAACTCATAAAGTAAACAATCCCTGCTTTTTGTTCTGGGTCGATATTATTAACCTAATATTTAAAGAAATTTGGCAAAATATTTGTGTTTTCTGCTCTGGAAGCGAATGGTTGACCATTTTCTTTTATTAGAATATGATTATCTATGCTATTTTTGTATCAGCTTTTTAATAAATATATATGATTTRTATGTGTTTTCTATAATTGGCAGGTTCTAAAAGCTAAGCTGGGGGTAACCCAATGGGATATATAGGTGTTCATGGCATTAATGCACTACACAGATGCAAGTACAGTGGAGTTGATCACTCTTATCTTGCAAAATATAGTCGTTTTGTTACTTTCTTCCCTCTTTGGATGCCGTAAGTATTGTTCAAATAAACATATTATTCAGCATGCTTGTGTGCTAATACAAATCTATGTGTGTGTGCTAATACATATGTGAAGTAATTTATGAAGTACTTGCGAAGTGAAGAAGATTCGTTAGCGAAAAATCTGAGTTCAAGATTTCGATCGATCGAACCGACCAAAAACACATATGTGTGAATAGATATAGATAGATATGGAGGAAGGGGATGGCTTTTATGGCGGTTTTGGAGTCAGATCTAC